GATTACACTAACTGCTTATTGTCTCAATGTAAAATAAACAAGTGTTGAAAAATCACATAATGTCTATCCCTACTAATATTATAAATGCGAAAGTCCTGATGTTTGTTACACTTTCACGCAAAAACTACTTAACCGATCATCATGAAAATTTGTACACATATTCTTAGTGGTCCCCGAATGGTTATAGGCTACTTTTTATTTAATAAAAAAAATAATTTTTTAAATAAAATAAAGAAATTGTTTAGCCAATAATACCTCTGCATCTGGCTATTTGACTACTTTAACGCCATCTAGCATTCCAGCAATGAAGCTCAAACCTAAGTACTATAGTACCATCACACTGTATTATCAAACTGTATTACCGACAGCTACGTCAACATCAAATCCAATTGACTACACTATGGAGACTGTACACTATACTTCCATAGACTATACTTTCAGCCATTTTAAACTTCCCGCCATTCTACTTCATTGTTACTTCTTCTGTGACTACAACTTCATTATTTTACATTTCCCCAACGAAGACGCGTACGGTAGCAACTTCATTATTTTAGATTTCCCCAAATTTAGTAAAGCTAGTAATTTATAAATAAATTTAAACCCAACATCGTTATTGTTCCTCAAAAACATTTTCTTCAAAATTTTACTATATACTCAACACTTATACCGCAACTCAAACATAGAAAAATTTAATGATGCAAAAAAATTATAACATGTGGGTGAATTTTTTCTGAAACTTTAATTTCCATTCCCGTTGGATGTTTGGCATTAATTTTAATAACCAGTAGCATAAATCAAACAAATCGTATATTGGCGCAGAATTTGCCGTGTCATTAACTCTAATTAAGCGCCACTTCGCGTCCGGATTGCGCGCAGTCATTAAAACAACACCGAAATAATTCGCCGCGTTTAGAATGATTAATACTGACGTTTACAAATGCGAGCGACGCACGAATGATTATCCGCATTCGGGGCCGCACGTCGCGCGCCATTATAATCAGAGAGGGACGATAATTAACGCGCGGTAGCTGTAGCGCCGCCGCTGCGCGCGCCTCCGCTTTAATATTAATAACTACTGAATGCGAGTAATTACACCGACGGTGCTGACGAAGACGCAGACTGAATTATGATACGATGTATCGATTGGCCCGATCATTAATTTTCCCGCTGCCGGGGCTTTGATTATTTTCAATTACTCATCACTAATCTGGCGTATTTGTGTGCTTAAAACCAACATTTAACACACGCTGTCATTTTTTTACCCTTTTACGCAGCGCCATCTATTAACAGACCGCGTAAGTAATCCAACATGGCATCTAAGATAAGCGCGCATGCGCAATTGATGAATGGCAGTTACACGTGTTCGCACGTATATTGCCGGCGTGCGATAATCGATAAGCGGCCGCATCTGATAACAGACGACTAGAAAAAGGGACAGGACACACACACATACACACAAGGACGAAATTTATGTCCCTCAAAAGTTTTTACTTCTGTGCGCGCATGTCGTCGTCGGCGTTTGCTCGCGTTTGGGACGACATGCGACATACGGGTTGCCGGGTTCGGGCCAGGTGATGGTAATCTGTTTGCAATGCGCGCACACGAAGAGGACACAATCATTCGTCTGCGTTGCTCGTGCTGGTGCTGGAATAGTAAAAACGCGACGATACATAACTTATGTGCATCTGCGGAAAAACATGCAGAATGCAGAAACGGGCAAACAGATCACTCTGGCTGATTAGTGCATGGGGCGCGGACCCAACGGATGAGATCCTCGCGTGCCGATAGGATTGACGCACACGGTCACACGATCGACTCTGTCGCAATTCAACAAATCCACATAAATTTATTTCCTGATAATAAACACAAACGCAAACAAAATTTTTTTCTTTAGAAAATAAAATCGAGATAAAAATCTAAAATTTTTGGGGTGAAAAAATTATGTATGCTATTGTTGTTGAGGTGTAAGATATGTTAATGAAGAGAAACAAATCACCATGTATGGACTCATAGCCAATTTAGAAATGGCTTGTTATTCTACAAGAGTACTGCATTGATTATTATGATTCATCGCCATCGGAAATCGCAATATCCTCGCGCTGCGATTGCAAAATCCGAGTTTCATCAAATGCAAAATGCACATCAGGAACAACCGCACCATATAGAGCGCACGTGGCTCCACATCTTGTGGGCCGTCTCCTAACAATGTGCGATTAGTATGCGCAAGCGAGTAAAAGGTAATGACGGCCAAGAAGCAAACCGCAAGTGTCGACACGCTCAAGATGTCAATTAAATTACAATATGTGCAAGATACAAACTCAAAACGAAAAAATAACAATCACAACAACAATCAATATCATCGCGGAATGCGCCGAAGGTTGCCTATCATGACCTAACCAAACACGAGCACTACACTCGTGATGCACTCGCGCGCGCGCATTTGTAATGTAAACCTTAAACATCGAACACGATGTTGAATCGATACAACACAACTACACTCAACTCAAAAAAATATATGCAACAGACACGCTTGTCAAACGTATGTAAACTCGTTGTAAGTCGCTCGTTGACATTCCGCAATTTGCCCTCCGTGTGTGCGCGCGCGCGCAAGTGTCAAGTTGAGTCAACTCAACACATCGACGCCTACGAATGCCAAACGCGAATGGTAATCCGCGCGCGAAATGCTAATCCATCTATAACAATAACACAATAAAGGGCGCGCAACGCGTCTAGTGACGATCAGAATTTTAAGAGCGCTTAAACGCTCTCGATGATTTGCAAGTCGAGCGCACGAACCGCAACCAACAACACACAACAATAACACAACAACCAGAAGCGGCGCGGTAGTCGGAATACAAACTGAGAATTAGCGTGTCACGCGCACACTGAATTGACCTTGAAATATTTGCACGAAATAATAATTTACATAAACACTTAAACATAGATGGCGCTAGTTTAAGATTTTTTCTGGAAATCTTCACACGCTGCTCATTTATTTCATAAAACAACATTTAATACGCGCAGTATTAATCATCGGCCAACGAACACGAAAAACCAGCATCGGATTTCCATCTGCGTCTACGTTTCGAAGTTGGTGAATCCTAAAACGCATGCGTTAAGTACGCAGCTGATGAAACGCGATGATACGCGAGAAAGAACTCTAAAAGACTAATTACACAATTTTCATGCGAGCGAGAACGCTATCCATCACGGCGATGTTTTACAACCTTTTTCGTTTCTCGCGCGGCGGCGGCGACTGGTGTTAACATGCGCTTTAATACGCACACGCAAGTTATGTGTGTGTGTGTGTGTGAGCTTTTAGCCGTGTTCGCCGTTTCGATATTTTATTGCTGCGCCGCCATTAAAGCAAATATTTATGTTTCCTCAACACTGATTCCGAATCCAAACACATATAACACCCAGGCAAGAAAAACAAAGACATTAAAACGTTAGTGATACTGAAACTGAAGCGCAAGCGCCATCTATGAGCGTAAAGCTTTTATTTTAAATTTAAGTATTTAAAGGACTTAAAACGCAAAGTCTGCTTGTACATCAACGTACGAGTAAAATACAAGATGTTAAATGTTTGTGTGTGTAGTGTGCGTGTTCGCCGATGTTAGATGATGATAAATCGTCGAGCGTTAGTCAAATCTATCAAACTGACAACTCAATCTGTTTGCGTGCTGTGGCCGTATTACTTACACGGACCCAACACTTTTCATGTGATAGAATTACCACCAAAAATAAATTTTTATTTTTTTTGTTAAAATTTTTTTTAAATAAAAACTAAAAACACTAAAATTCTTCTGTAGGTATATGATTTCTCTTTGTTGTGTGAATTTTTCCGAACGCACCTATTTTCTACAATTTACAGCTTGTTTAGCAATCGCAGAAAGGAAATTGTAGGTGGTGAGGGAGTCAATAACACTCACAATTCCATTTTCGGACAAAACGCAGTCTCAATAAAAAGCATTGCAAAACAATATTCATATTTCATGCACCATATTAAACTAGACAACCCACATATCATTTATACGATTTTTCTTTAAAGAAATGCAATTCCATTTTGTATTGGATAGGTCGAAACCATTTATCATGCTCTGGATTTTTTCTGCCCTTCGAATGAAATTCCCAACATTCGTTCGTTGCTGGAATGCAATCGTAGAAACTCTTTTTCGAGCAACATTTAAACTGTTTCTACACACGTGAAATTTATACGCCGCTCGTCGGCGTAGGCAACCCGTGTCGCTATAATTGGACTCGGAGGGTGTTCTGTCCATAATATCATTCATCACGGCTCTCGCGGAGTACGAAGACCCTCAAGACCGAAACTCACGCCGTGTACGAGCGAACTCGCACTTGGAGAACATGCTAACATGGCAACGAACACGAAATGTCACTGTTTCGAGCTATTCCTAACTGACCCCAACACATATTGTTTGAGAAATTGATGATGAACGACGTGCTGCATAGATTACAATATGGTAAAACATTTGATTAAAGTGTTATGGGTTTTAAAACATGATTCAACATCCGATTGCGAATTTTTTTAAATTTTTTACAAAAAATTTTTTTATTTTCATCGTTGGAGTTCTTGTTTATATGTAACAAGATGTCGAACACGATTCGATATTTCGTGTTCGCATGCATAACGAAAAGGTAGAGGCGCGCGCGAGCGCTCGTGTGCGTCGTGGCAATCGCATGAATTATATATTTCCTGATGCGCCACCGTGCGATCTCGTTCGCTCAAGATGCCGGCACGAAATGCGCCGGCACGACTGCCGCGGTGTGGGTCAGCGGCGCTCAAAACCACGCGACATAATATATGTATCAATGTAATAACGCCTCGCAAACACCGTGTCCGCACTGCCCACGACAACCGGCCGCGGCCTGCAATACATCATGCCATCATCACGCCGGCGTGGGCCATTTTTGCCCGGTTGGAATCGTGCAGCGCGGACACAACTTTGGCAGTGGAAGAAAAGCGTTTGAGGACTTACCGGAGATGATATTTTGCGGCGAATCGGTGGAATGGATATTCTTCTAGGGTTTGGACACGTTCAATGTTGTTGAGATGGTCGTAAATTGTTTTAAACTGATGGAATTGTGGAGCAAGACGCGCGGTCGACCGAAAATCGCGAGTGACTGAGTTGAGCGAGGTGCAGTGTATGCGAAATACCTGAAAATAGATAAGAAAACGTAAACAAATAAGAAACTTGTTTTATTTTTGTGTGTAGTATTAGTTGCCTATAGTTTTTGTATTATATTACAACTAGCTTTAACCCGCAGCTTCCTTAGGGAAATCTAAAATAATGAAGTTGCTTCTGTACGCGTCTGTAGTCACAGAAGAAGTAACAATGAAGTAGAATGGCGGGAAGTTTAAAATGGCTGAAAGTATAGTCTATGGAAGTACAAAAATAGTCTCCATAGTGTAGCCTACCGATTTGATAATGTCGCAATACAGTGTGATAATACAGTGTGATGGTAATTATACTAGGGGTTTGAGCTTCATTGCTGGAATGCTAGATGGCGTTAAAGTAGTCAACAGCCAGATGCAGAGGTATTATTGGCTAAACTATTTCTTTATTGAATTTAAAAGATTTTTTTATTAATTAAAAAGTAGCCTGGCAACCATTCGTAATTACCAAGTTAATTATAGCAACAGCTTACGAATGGTTAAGTAGTTTTTTGTGAAAGTAAAATAAACATCAGGACTTTCGCATTTCTATAACATTAGTAGGATATAGGTACATTTTTTGTTTATTTCCGGTAAACAAAAGAAAATAACTAAATATCTAGATTATACGTGGATTGGCCTTGTTTAATTCTTCTTAGAGCTGTCAAACACCAATTACTCTTGTAAAACTGCCGGTAAATATTTTCCAGAAGTCAAATATGGAATTCCGCCGCCCGCTGTATTCACTTGTGCTGCTTATCGATTTTCTAGTAACGCAAACGTGCACCCCAACAAATTAGCTGAAAATCGTGCTTGCTATAGAAATTTGCATTGGGTAATTTGTAGGATGTTGGGATCTTAATTACAACAATATTTCAAATGTTACCATCGATGTCATGTCTTTAAAAAAATATTCTAGCGCATAATTGCTTGAAATAAAAATATTTTTTGTCGTTACCCCGAAAAACTGTAACGCTATAACTTAAAAATTAATATAATCCAACTAAATTGTATAAATTTCGTCGTTATACAGAGGCTACAATGTATTTTAATGAAATTCATGTGAATGCATGTACCTATGTGAGCCGTAAAAATCCGAAATTCTCAATAACAATAAATTACCACGAGTCGGCTCACTCACGGGTGGGCAATACCGTTTTCCCATCCGCGCCGAGGCGCAGGTTTTATGTCGTTATCTATCCGCACGCATCTTCTGTTCAGCCCTCCTGTTTGTTTTAATTCTTCGCCAGCGCTATGATGTATTACACACGACGCCACAGCAGATCAAACCTCGCACAAAACAAAACCCAACCGCAGCAATAACTAATCTTGGCACTTGTTAGTGTTTTGTTCGACTTTTTCTCCCCGGTTGGAAAAACTTAATCTAAAATATGACTGATGCACACACAGAGTTCTGGCTATGATGATTTGTATACCACAGGTCACCGTCTTCATGTCATCCGCAACCCTGTGTTTATTTGAGATCCAATGAACGGCGTTTACACCCCACCATTTCAAAGCCCGTTCCGTTCAAAACCTCGACCAGAAACCCTTCATCCGATTCCGTCGTTCGATTGGCCCGGTTCGCCCATCTCCAAACGCCCCACCGCTTCGTTTACAACCGTTCGCACCACCATACGGAAGTCAACGCCCAAGCCCGTTTAGTCGCCCTTCCAGCGTTTTGAAATTCTTTTTACCTGCGCATACCGTTCTAACCTCCAGCGCATCGCGTCCCATCTCATCTCCGCGTTCTGCGCCCGTGCCGGAAAATTAACCTAACATTTCGCCTTTATTCAATACAACCGCCGCCCCAAAAACATTTTTCAGCCCTTCAAAAATTTTTGTGTTTTAAAACTCAATTTATCAAGTTTTTCGCCGTTTTTCTGGGAATTAAGGGATGAAAAGTGATTTTAAAATTATTTAAACCAATTCTTTTGTTTCTGTAGGAGCAGTAGATATAGATCTGGCGGTGCTTCGCGCGCGTTTGTTTGACGCAGTTTCCGTTTCGTTTCATCTCGTTGTCGAACACGAACGACGGCCCGAGAATCATGCGTGCCAAGAATGCGAACGAGCGCAATTACCCGGGAGGCGTGTAATGCAAACGCTCTCGACGGGCCCAAACGTGAACATGAATAATGCCGCGCCGTTCCGCACCGTGTAATTAAAACATACTGCACGCACCGGCCCCGCCGTCTCTAAAAGCGCGCGCTGCTCTCGAAGACGACGTCGCCGGACTGAAATTGCTAAATTCATTTTTCGCGTGCGCGCCGCTGAAAAAGCGAATCAATGAGAGCCGCAGGAACCGATAATACTCTCGCAACAACTTTAAACATTTTCAAAACGATATATCAGCAAAACTATTAAACCCAACATGTTACTTCCCACCTTTGTTTATATATTTCATTATTTCACTAACCACCAGTAAAAAAATCATTTATTTATCTCCCATAGTTAAAGAGAGATAAATTAAATCAAACCCTTTTACTAAGTTGAATTACAATCTCGTTTACCATACTATAAGTAAAATATGTAATATAGGCAACCCATTATACACAAAATTATACAAATCTAACTCAATACTCAATATAATTCAAAATGGCGACTGGAGATGGAATAGGATACGATAGCAATGAAGATGGGTGATGATGTCGTGGGGTCAACTTTGCGTTAACGTCTAAAATCCTTCTCCATCTTTAGATCTTTAGATCTTAACTCCTAACAGCTCGAGACGTACGCTTTTCGATGTGGATGTGTGTTTGGACGCGCGAGATGACGGAATGATGCTAACTCATTAATATGGCAACATTTAACCTCGCAATAATTCATTACTCATACCAGTCATATTTACACACACATAAATGATCATCTATCGCGTGTATTTTGTTGAAAAATACACACAGACTGCGCATGCGCGGAAAATGTCGAACAATGGCGACTAATTGCGTCGAAATCGATAGTTAAATCGTTAAATGATGATGTTAATGAGCTTGACGTCCAATGAATGCAATACATCCGCATAATAAAAATTCTAGTTGATATTTCAACCGTCAGATGGCGTTAGATGTACCAGTGCGTTATGTGTGTTGTTGGTGGTGAAAAATTCAGTTTCGCAAGCAACTTTCCCAAATGCTTTTTGCTCGCTGGCGAGTGTTTACGATTTTATAACGCGAATATTAATGCGCGCGAATCGGTTATAAATTGCCGTTTTGCGGCGCGAGAGTGCGAGACTTAACCTCACATTAACTCATGCGCACACATAGAGAGATATGCTGCGTTTAGTTGACTTACATTGTCGACGAGCCGAAACAAGATGGCCACACACGAATCGCAAATGCATCCAAACATGGCCACGCCAAACAATGAAATAATTATCGATATTTAGTACTGGGCTTATCGGTGGTTAAAAAGCTGATACAAAAGCTATTAATATGGCCGCTGTGCGGCGACGCAACGAATGCGGCGTGGCGATAACGAAAATTTGTCGCTGTGGGAAATTTTCACACGCATATGTGCGATGTGAGAACCGCGTCCGCGGCAACCTAACCTAAAACATGCAAATTGTAAATTGTGCGCGCGCATAGGCCTACCGAAATGGCAGCGGGGCCATTGTTGTGTCAATTTGCATTCGTAAACAAACGCAATTATTATTATTATTAGCAGATGCAGAGACAAAAGCGCGCGCGTAGAGACAAAGCCGTTGTGCTATTCGCAAGAGTGAAGAGACGACTTAAAACGGACAAGTTTTAAGTGCTTCGGAGCATATTAGATGTAATATGTAATGTGACATTTTGCATTCTGAGCGTATGATGCGCACATCATGGCCTCATTGTTCAGGAAGTGAATTATTGACTAATAAAATTCAGTCTTTATATGACAAGCAACGCGAATAGATTAAAATTAAAATTAAAAACATGTTTTATTTAACGCTAAACTTAATGGTAAAAAAGTAGTGGGGGTAGATATACACTTATTCATTGGTTGGGAGTAGAATAAGGTTATGTATGAAGTGGGCGTGGCTCCCACACATAAAATAACAATTAAAACACCGAAAATAAAATTTTGATTTCAAAATGCATTTCCTGAATCGTGTAATTCTTGTGATGTCTTGTCGGACATTGCGCATGCATGTCGCACATGACGCACTCCGGTACGAGATAAAGATTCACACACACACACACGAGTAGTGTGTGTCGTCCGCGCGATGAAGACGCCATCCGTATGCTTGTACAGCGCTAGGCGAGCGGACACGAAGAGCCGAATTTTTCAACTTCAGCCGCGCGCTGTGTCCGCATACTGCACATATATACATATATACATCGGGTACCGGTGCAGGCGTACAATATCGATATAAATACGTGTCGGAGTAATTAGAGATCATAGTCATGTCGGAGATGTCGTGGGAAAGTCGATTTTGTCCCACCTCCGGACACGGCCACGCGCAGCCCAGGCGCGCACAGGTGAATTAGCGCTTCGCCCATGCGCGCACCAACACGTAGAGAGAATATATACGAATAGATTTTCTATGCACATGCCCATCTTCAACTGCGAGAAGGATTAGAGACAAGAAGATGTAGAAATGCGGTGGAAATAATTTATATGCGGAAATAAAGCATTATCAAAATAGTAAAATATTAAAATATTGCGTATAACGATGAAATTTGTATAATTTAGTTGGTTTATATTAATTTTTAAGTTATAGAGTTATAGTTTTTCTGGGTAACGACGAAAAATATTTTAATTTCTAGCAATTATGAGCTAGAATATTTTTTTAAAGACATGACATCGATGGTAACATTTGAAATATTGTTGTAATTATGATCCCAACATCCCTACAAATTGCAATGCAAATTTCTATAACTTAAGCACGATTTTTCAGCTAATTTGTTGGGGTGCACGTTGCGTTACTAGAAAATCATTTAAACATAACACAAGTGAATACAACTGAGCGACGCGGAATTCATATTTAGACTTCAGGAAATATTTACCGGCATTTTTACAAGAAT